TTGAAAGGAAAAAGCAGAAGAATCAGGGAGTTCTATATAAGATGTATGGGTCAGTTACTTTTGTGTACATCATTGGATCACGCTCGTAATATTATTTGTGCAATTATGACTGTAAGCTTAAGTGAAACAGAGGGCATCTCTGTTACTACAAGCAAACCAACTATAGGAGAATCCTCTAAAATCTGGCTGAAACAAGTTATTTCTTCATCTGAAGTCAATGTTGACTACGAACCTTATGTGTTGGTCCTTGAACAAACATTAGAAGCGGACATTGAGGATGGACAGGAGCCAGTTACTGAAGCAAAACAATCAAACAAATTTAGTAAATGGGCAAAACAAATTTTAGAGGAATGCAAGCAGACGGTGGAAAGTGACGTTGGGGATAGAGACAATTTGCACTACGTTCCTGATCTTTGTTCATCTCTACTCTCTATGTGTGAAAAATTGCCTCTATGGACGGGAATAATGATACCAATATTTGGGTATGGCAAACAAGTTGGAAGCAGTGCTGCAGTTGAGAGTTATTTTAAAGAACTGAAAGTAAACCTAATGAGACGAGGCGAATCAGTACGTGTAGACAACTTTTTAATTCAACATATAAAACTGAACGAAGGATCCTTAAAGATTGCAGGATCGTCTGAAATGTTCTGGGATGAAACCACGGAGAATAGTTCCGAATTTCAAGAAGAAGTAAGGGAGCAAGAAATGTCTCACAGCAGTCCAAAGTCGCAAGTCGTCCAAAGTCAGCAAGAAAATGTTTGTGCTCCATCTATACCTATTTCTAGCTGTATTGCTTGCGAAGTTGGCAACAAACCAGAAGGTGCACACATATGCATAATTTGCCAAAAAGCTGTGCACGCATTAGATGGCTGTTCAATACCTATTGGTGAAGAAGGGTATGGCCAAAAAAGAAAATGCATATCATGCGCAAATGGACAGACCACAAACAGAAGAATAGAGAAAACCCCCGTATGGCAGAAACCAGTGCTAGAAGAGCTGAAGCAAGTGGAAAACTGGCGCAACCAAGCGTCTTCAAGCAGTTGCAAAAAGAGTTTCTATCTAGCACCTTGCCCCGAAATGAATCATGTCAAAGAAAATTCGCCAAAGAATCAAATAAAAATAGGTGTTTTAAGAAACGGTAATTCTATCACACTGAAACCTCGCCGTGTAGACTCAATGCAAGTGGTTTTGGAAAACACATGCGCGTTCGATTCGGTTGTTCAGGGAATTGCCGTTTGTATTTGTGACAGTGACAAATATTCGGAAATGGTAAATGTATCAACAGGGATAGCGAAATTAGCAATTGGACTTGTTCAAAGAGTAAAACCAAACAACCTATACTTGGAGCGAATCTCAATTCTTAAGGACTGGTTTCCTGCTGATACATTGCAACAGAACATGAAAAGGATAAAATGTGCAACCACAGTAACAGATATAGTGACCAAATTTGTATCTCCCAGTTTTTCAGAGAGTAAAAACTGTTCATCTCCTTTCTGCCCAGAAAAAAACACCATAAAATATTATTCGTTAATGAGAGTAGATTCACAGTTTCTCGCAAAAAACGGAATCTCCTATCTTGACCAGGCCATTAAGCTAGCTACATGCATAAATCCAGAAGAAAAAAGAAAGTGCCTGAAAAAACTGCAGAGATCAGTTGCAGTACCTGAACAATTAAAATGTCATGACCTTGGTTTATCATCCATGCCTTTGTGCAATGGCGATGTTTCCTACGTACAAGAATTTGGTATTAATGGACATCTGATGATCGAGATTGCAAGTGATAACCAACATCAGCAGCTTGATAAAAACGACTTTGAGTCCAACACAAGCTACAAATTGGCACAAATACCTTTCATGGTCAGCTTTTCTGATCAAACATTTTATTTAAGGACAGTAATAACGTTCGTCCCACCTTTGGTTGGTAGCGGCATCGGGCATTACGTGGCATACTGTAGGCGTTCTGATGGAGGGTGGGAAATTTATGACGACCTCAAAGAAAAAGTAATACGCACCAACAGCAACAAAAGTGTTTGCATTCATTTGATAGTGTATACGTTGTAAGATAGGTCCCACTTATTCAGAAATACCAAAGGTTAGGGATTTCAACTCAAGAGTATCGTAACATTGCATTATTAATGACTTGACATGTTAAGACATTTAATAATCTTGTTGAAGTATATAAGAATACTAAAATTCAACATTTAAATATTTATTATAATTTATTGAAATCTTGAGAAAAGTGTTTTTAATAACCCTTTAGGGGGTATTTCACATTACTTACAAAAATAATTTATTGGTTTGCAGAAGTCAACTGTAACATCATATATTACGTTCTGTACGGTATATGTAAATATATCAAGAATTGTTTAAGTTCAGTTTATACCCGTACTAGATTATATTTATTGAGTTTTATAAAATGAATACATTGTATTCATTGGTTTTATACAGATTATTATATGAAGTTTATTTGACCCTTGTCCATAACAAGGTTAACCATTCACAAACAGTAACATCTGAACCTCTTATTTCAACATATGAGATTGTATAGTGTAAATTTTAATATTTGGTAATAGGCCTACTTTTGTATTTTCTTTCTTTTGGCTTTGTAATAGTATTCACTTTGAAAATGAGTTGTTTGAAAATATCATGTTTACTATCTAAAAAAATACTAAGTAGGCCTAAGTGTGTATAGCTTATGTAATGTTTATATTAAGTTAAATACAAATCTTTCAAACAATCAGTGCATTTATAATTATAACCCTGTTATTTTATTTGTTTACTTAAAATGTTAAAATAGATATAAATTAACAAAGCACTTCTACTTGATACCTTTTAAAATATTCAAGAAGTTAAGTTTATTTTTATCCACTAAGGATATAACCTACTTAATACTTTGAATAACAACTAAAGGTATTATATTTTAAGATACTGTAGTTTCAACGGTAACTCTCATAAAGGTGGCTTAAATTTTACTGATGGGGAGGAGAGCCAGCTTATAGTTGTTTGCAATAGCAACAGTTGCCATCAACCTACAACACTAGTGCTGCAGTGGAGAATCTTGGCAAATTTTGAGGGATTTCCCTTGACTCCGCTCAGATCGCAGCACCTTCATGGTCACCAGTTTTCACTTCTCTCTTGAAGCAAAGAAATAATTTGTTGAATAAGTGCTTAACTGGTTCGTTAAGTTACAGTACATTGAATATAAGATAGATAAAACATATGACAAATGTTTAATTAAATACACTAATACAATCTCCAGTTTTATTAATGTTTACAAAATATTTTTGTTAGCTTTGAACAACCTATTTTTAAATAAATATGGACTATATTATATTTTTATAAATAGATTGATAACAAGTCAATGAAATATGAAGATAAAAATGTTAAAACTACAATTGCACTATGCTCAATTATAAAAAGGGTTTTTATATGTTAAATGTGCTAGGATAACTTCTTTAAGGAATTTACCTTTCATTTCAAGCATTAGAAAATGTGGGGAGCCTAGTTGATACAATTTGGTGGAACTGTCATTGAATATGGCCTCGGAACTATAGATTTTCATTACATCTCCTGGACATTCAGTAACCAGCACTAGACATTGATACCATTTTGAAAGTTAGAACTGTATATATTTTTAATGGGGTTGGCTAACTTCCGTGAAGTTGGCCCCACCCACAGTTTTTCGGTTATAGCTCCTGATCCTTAAGAGCACTAACGATGGGAGTTGAAGCACCAACCAGCACTAACGAAGCACTAACCATTAATACTAGTTTAATTGTTAGTGCTTTTATGGGGGGGCCAACTTCCGTGAAGTTGGCCCCCCCACAGTTTTTCGGTTTTAGCTCCTGAACCGTAAGAGCACTAACGACGGGAGTTGAAGCACTAACCAGCACTAACGAAGCACTAACCGTTGGTACAGTTTTAAAAGTTAGTGCTCACATATTACTACTGGTGGGGGGCTAACTTCCGTGAAGTTGGCCCCACCCACAGTTTTTTAGTCATAGCTCCTGATCCGTAAGAGCACTAACGATGGGAGTTGAAGCACTAACCAGCACTAACGAAGCACTAACCATTAATACTAGTTTAATTGTTAGTGCTTTTATGGGGGGGGCCAACTTCCGTGAAGTTGGCCCCCCCCACAGTTTTTCGGTTATAGCTCCTGAACCGTAAGGGCACTAACGACGGGAGTTGAAGCACTAACCAGCACTAACGAAGCACTAACCGTTGGTACAGTTTTAAAAGTTAGTGCTCACATATTACTACTGGTGGGGGGCTAACTTCCGTGAAGTTGGCCCCACCCACAGTTTTTTAGTCATAGCTCCTGATCCGTAAGAGCACTAACGATGGGAGTTGAAGCACTAACCAGCACTAACGAAGCACTAACCATTAATACTAGTTTAATTGTTAGTGCTTTTATGGGGGGGGCCAACTTCCGTGAAGTTGGCCCCCCCCACAGTTTTTCGGTTATAGCTCCTGAACCGTAAGAGCACTAACGACGGGAGTTGAAGCACTAACCAGCACTAACGAAGCACTAACCGTTGGTACAGTTTTAAAAGTTAGTGCTCACATATTACTACTGGGGGGGGCTAACTTCCGTGAAGTTGGCCCCCCCCACAGTTTTTCGGTTATAGCTCCTGAACCGTAAGAGCACTAACGATGGGAGTTGAAGCACTAACCAGCACTAACGAAGCACTAACCATTAATACTAGTTTAATTGTTAGTGCTTTTATGGGGGGGGCTAACTTCACGGACCTAAAGATCGAAGATGTAGGACCAATTATCCATCTAGCAAAGCGTAGGGTATTCAGATAATTTATCTTTTATGAAATAGTTGGGCTTCAATACTTAATGTGTATACTGTAATCTCGTAATTTTGTGCAATTTTAACTATCAATACGTTTTTCTTATTGGGTTTTTGACCTTCTGCTGATTATTATTAGTACATTGCAGTGTAAATATTTTTATTATATCCATTGTACTAATGTCTTTCTTTTTTTCAGGGGTTCCCTCTGAAAGTAAGTCCATTCAAAATATAACGCACATTAAACCCTAATCACCATTTTTTTTTATTTTTCCGCTTTGGTGGTTGATATGTTTAATTGGTTTATATGTATTACGTAGATATTAGTAGAACTATGTCTGCTTCATTGTTGTGTTTATTTTAATTTATATTGATTTTAAACCTAAATCCACTCGCATGACCGATTTATCGATGTGTTAGTGCTTGTATTAGAAGTCGTGTTGTCTTTATTAAGTTGCCAGTCTCCACTTCAGCTTGAGACTAAATATCTCCCAAAGAAAACGTTGGTCCCACTCCTGATTTAACAAAACTAGTTAATATCTTAAATTGTTCACTTAAGAATTTCGGTATTATTATAACTTGACGAGTGAAACAGGTAGCTATGCTATAGGTGAGCTGGCTCCATACCAGTCAGGTCTAGAGATGTAGGATGGTACAGCTAGAGCCATGTGTCAGGAGTGTGGACAGTAACAGGTAGCTATGCTAAAGGTGAGCTGGCTCCATACTAGTCAGGTCTAGAGATGTAGGATGTTACAGCTAGAGCCATGTGTCAGGAGTGTGTACAGTAACAGGTAGCTCTGCTATAGGTGAGCTGGCTCCATACCAGTCAGGTCTAGAGATGTAGGATGGTACAGCTAGAGTCATGTGTCAGGAGTGTGGACAGTAACAGGTAGCTATGCTATAGGTGAGCTTGCTCCATACCAGTCAGGTCTAGAGATGTAGGATGGTACAGCTAGAGTCATGTGTCAGGAGTGTGTACAGTAACAGGTAGCTATGCTATAGGTGAGCTGGCTCCATACCAGTCAGGTCTAGAGATGTAGGATGGTACAGCTAGAGTCATGTGTCAGGAGTGTGGACAGTAACAGGTAGCTATGCTATAGGTGAGCTGGCTCCATACCAGTCAGGTCTAGAGATGTAGGATGGTACAGCTAGAGCCATGTGTCAGGAGTGTGTACAGTAACAGGTAGCTATGCTATAGGTGAGCTGGCTCCATACTAGTCAGGTCTAGAGATGTAGGATGGTACAGCTAGAGCCATGTGTCAGGAGTGTGTACAGTAACAGGTAGCTATGCTATAGGTGAGCTGGCTCCATACCAGTCAGGTCTAGAGATGTAGGATGGTACAGCTAGAGCCATGTGTCAGGAGTGTGGACAGTAACAGGTAGCTATGCTATAGGTGAGCTGGCTTCATACCAGTCAGGTCTAGAGATGTAGGATGGTACAGCTAGAGCCATGTGTCAGGAGTGTGGACGGTAACAGGTAGCTATGCTATAGGTGAGCTGGCTTCATACCAGTCAGGTCTAGAGATGTAGGATGGTACAGCTAGAGCCATGTGTCAGGAGTGTGGACAGTAACAGGTAGCTCTGCTATAGGTGAGCTGGCTCCATACCAGTCAGGTCTAGAGATGTAGGATGGTACAGCTAGAGCCATGTGTAAGGAGTGTGGACAGTAACAGGTAGCTATGCTATAGGTGAGCTTGCTCCATACCAGTCAGGTCTAGAGATGTAGGATGGTACAGCTAGAGTCATGTGTCAGGAGTGTGGACAGTAACAGGTAGCTATGCTATAGGTGAGCTTGCTCCATACCAGTCAGGTCTAGAGATGTAGGATGGTACAGCTAGAGTCATGTGTCAGGAGTGTGGACAGTAACAGGTAGCTATGCTATAGGTGAGCTTGCTCCATACCAGTCAGGTCTAGAGATGTAGGATGGTACAGCTAGAGTCATGTGTCAGGAGTGTGGACAGTAACAGGTAGCTATGCTATGGGTGAGCTGGTTTCATACCAGTCAGGTCTAGAGATGTAGGATGGTACAGCTAGAGCCATGTGTAAGGAGTGTGGACAGTAACAGGTAGCTATGCTATAGGTGAGCTTGCTCCATACCAGTCAGGTCTAGAGATGTAGGATGGTACAGCTAGAGTCATGTGTCAGGAGTGTGGACAGTAACAGGTAGCTATGCTATAGGTGAGCTTGCTCCATACCAGTCAGGTCTAGAGATGTAGGATGGTACAGCTAGAGCCATGTGTCAGGAGTGTGGACAGTAACAGGTAGCTATGCTATAGGTGAGCTGGCTCCATACCAGTCAGGTCTAGAGATGTAGGATGGTACAGCTAGAGCCATGTGTCAGGAGTGTGGACAGTAACAGGTAGCTATGCTATAGGTGAGCTGGCTCCATACTAGTCAGGTCTAGAGATGTAGGATGGTACAGCTAGAGCCATGTGTCAGGAGTGTGGACAGTAACAGGTAGCTATGCTATAGGTGAGCTGGCTCCATACCAGTCAGGTCTCGACCGCACATCCGTCTTGCCGGAATCACTTCTCTAATTGCTTGGTTCATACTTGTGATGCAATTAAATGCATCAGGAATGCACTTGGGTTCTACACAATTAGCACTACACCCCTCTTCTCAACAATATGGCACCATACGAGTCCTTTGTTTTCCCTTCTGACATTTGTTTACTCTGGGTGATATACATGATCGTTTTTACCGTACAGTTTTTAAAGTTTTTAAAATTTATTTAAGGGTTCCAGCCTAAGAGTTATTGATGCTAATTTAATTAGATAATATTATTTGAAAATTTCTAACAATGGGGTTCTGCCGAATGATGGTGAATTTCAACTAAGAAAGAGTTGCATAGATCCATTCTATTCGTATATGTATACCTACTTTAACATTAACATTTTACCTACTTTAACATTTTGTGGATTGATTATACAAACAGATCCAATTTGTCTATGGTCAAAGCCATAAATAACAACAGTCTGCGCGTTGATGACGAACCTACGTCTATTTTATTTACTCGGGTTACAGTGTTGCAGCTAGAAACTCAAGCTCGCTGAACCGTGTTAAAACGGAATATACATAAACCCAGCAGTAAACACTTGTAGACACGCAGTAACCCGTATTATTTTCTTTTAATATTCGCAGATGAGTTGCCAACTCAAACACTCTATTTCTGTCGGGAATGCAGAGAGACCTAGCGGCGCGGCGCGGAGTTACCTGCTCTCAGAATAGCTCGTGTCTTTGTTTCGCTATCATAACACCGCACTCGCCCCGTAAATCATCGCTAACCACGCTATCAACCATCCTCAACCTCAGCACAACTATCTCGCCGAGGTTCTTTGCGTACTTTCTTGTTTGTTTTCTTATATCGTCGACAGGTCCACTGGTGTGGATACAGTTTATTGCCGTCGAGTGGATGTTATAGTAAGATAAACATGCGTTCTAGGGATGTGAAGTGCATGGTCACACCTATTGGAAAATGAATCGAAAACACCACAATATTTGTTTACCCAATAATCAAAATACAATAATACCAATTATCAAACACTCTTCTACGAATTTATGATAACGTAAAATTAGTGTTAGTTAACATTTGTATTAAAAGTTTGAACTCGTCGTGAGATTATTAATTAGCCAAGTAGCAAGTGCGAGTGCGAGTGAGAGTGTGAGTGTCAAAGGGCCCAGTATGCTGTATGGGGCTGCGGGGCCCGCTCAATAGGCCCTCTGTCCCCGCTTGTTGACTTGATTTATCGTCGTCCACTTGACGCATCTACAAATCTCATTTCGACCGTCAGTTGGCCGTGTCCCGTATCCTTCGCACCCACTACACTACATTGCGAGCCGCTCCACTCCACTCTGCCCTCTCAAATCTCCTTCGACAACTCATATTTGAACTATATCTCAGTGTTTAGTATATGATATACTGTTATTTTTTACCCTATACAAACAACAATATTTCAATAGGCCCATCCATTGACAAAGGAGGCTGGGTCCGAGCGACTGTCGCCACTAGCGCAGTTTCGGTCGGTTTTTGCGATAATGAGAGACGCCGTAATTAACACGACGACGGCCGCCGGAATGTCGCCACATTCTGTTGCTGACTGCAGGTGCCTGTGCTCCATCAATCACAACACGTCCAGTATACGGTATTTATTTAAATTGCCAGTATCGACTAATTATAATATCACAATACGTTTACATCTCACATAATGCGTTTATAACATGGAATAACCTAAATTTTATTTGTATTTTGATGTTTCGTATATATTATTCCATTTAAATCATTCGCGCACAGAAGGGCGTAGCGGGCTGGAGCTTGGAGTGCTGTAGTAGTGCTGGAGTGCCGCAGAGCCCCAGTCTGTCACCACGACTATTTCCGTTCTCACAACCTCTTGACACCTCCACCCCACCCACCGAAACTCAAAAATACCTCACCAAAAGCCACACACCCCTGTGATATATTTTTGTCTCGGCTTATGAGCTGTAGCGGGCTCGGAAACGTGCTTTTCGGCGGGTTTGACGCATTATAATGTCTGAATCACATTTAACTTACTCGGAATCCGATGTATATTTGGACGGACAAAGGCGATTTGGAAAAGTCAATTGCGGGTTGAACCTATTAATCTCGAGTGTGAGTATTCCGGGCCAGTCTAAACAACTCGGACTTCAGAGAGGGGGCTGCGAAACAGCGGTTGAGGCCAAAGGTGAAAAGATATCACTTGTATGGCACGTTCAGTCGACTCTACCATCGCTTGGTTGTCGTTGTTTTGTTTTGATACAATCTGAGCCCAGACGAACACCTACTAGTTCGGTGAGGCGCGGAATATTTTCTGCATTATCTATCGTTAGATGTTGTATTACGTTTTTGCGTAGAACGAAATAGAATGCTTTTATACGTACAGCAGTCAGAGTCAGAGAATAGGATTTAGGTTGTAAAATACACCATTCGTCGCTAGATAACTCTACAGTTTAACGTTCCCATCCCCTGCTCGGATTTACATCTTTAATCTTCTTAAATAAAGTGTAAACAGAGATATGCGAGGTGGTTGTGGTTGGGTGAAGGGTGAAGTGTAGAGTTATGACCGGCAAGTCAACAATTGTAAAACATAACTGTCGTGAGGCTAGGGACCATCTCGTGGGAAGCGAGAAGCGACCATTAGTCGTCACTAACTAACATGTCGGGATTGTTTTTGTGTCTCGACTATCGTTATAGATTCT